ATTTGGAGAAGATGGGAGAAGCAGGTATTTAACTATTGTTGTCTAATTGCATATGTATTTACTGTACATCTCTTTCGATGTTTGTCCAGGTTAAAATATTGTGTTGGAATTTTTGGTTTTAATGTTAACAAAAGCAGGTTGCTTCTATCCTTGTTACTTAACTACTTTTCCACTCTGAAATGTTGATGCTTGCTAGTATTCTTGCAAGACATTATTCTCCATAAACTGTAATTTACTGTAATTTGAATTTAGCACATGATGTTGAGACGGCACCACTATAAGTCCTGGCCATTAGAAAAAAACATAGTCCTGTCTTATTTTATGATCAGTAGTGAACAGATTGTTGGATAGCTCTATAAATAATCTTATTTATTCCCAGACGTTCCATAAAAGTAGCTTGAGGTTTCATCTTTGCTCAACTGCACTTGGGGTGGCTTTATCATGATATTATGTTGCTGGTAGTCATGATGATGTTAGAAGTTAGAAGTACCACAGGAGAGAGTAATACCTTTGTCATGATTTAAATGTACATGTGCTGAATCCTATTAAAAATATTATTTCATTTACATGTGTTTTTCTCATAGAAAACAAGTTGTTTGTGATATTTACAATTTGTGCAGAGGTGAAGGCTTACCTGTACAAATGGTGGGATGCCTTTGACATTTGGCATACCTCAACAGGGTGAGCACTAAACTCCTTCAGCACATCCTCTTAACTTTACTCATGTTAAAATGTGTGGCTTCAGCTCCCAGAATTCCTTAGCCAGCATACTCTGGGACCTGAAGTTCATGTATCTTAAAGCGACTAAGGTAAAAAAACAACAACACTGTTCTATTGCCTGGGTTCAATGCCTTTCTTCACATCATAGAGCATAAAGGCAAAGAGTTATCTGACACTGACTCTTCTATTTTTAAATATTAGTATGATCTCAGTCTGGATAAATATTACAACTTGTCAGTATTTCACCTGTTGCACATAGGAATGAATGCTGGCCAAATGATAAATTGCCTAGATTTTGTATGCTCTGGTTAGATGCTATCCATATATTTAACTTATATCCTGCTCCAATCAACAGTTGTCACTGGCTGATATAGTAACTATAAACACCTGGGGCTACTGGTAGTTGGGAAGTATTAAAAATGAATAAATGACAACATTAAAGTATCCGCAGTACAGTTAGAAACAATAACTAAATAATAACTGTATAATAAATTGCATGATGGAAACTTATGCAAACTATTGAAAAACAGAGAATGGATAAAACAAAGGCACCATGCTTAAATTACAAAAATATCCTTGAACTAGCTCTGTTCTTAATATTTTCCCAAAGACCAGTAATGAGGACTCAAAAAGCAGCTCCCTTTAGGAATGGAAGCCCTTTTCTCTTGTGCTCACTTGAATACTATTAGATTTGTTAAAGAAAAGAGAACATTTTCTCCACTGTGAGTCCATTCTCAAACTGTAACTGCCAACTTTTTAAGAAAGCACAAAATGTTCAGCTCCTCTCTCAAGCTTTCCCCTGAATGCATCTGAAATGGTCTGTCTGGGCTTTCTTTGCAAATGAGATTTTTAGCATTTTGGAGAAGCGTTTTAACTCTGCAGTGTTTGGGTTTATCAATGTTTTATGCCTTTTACGGCAGCTGCTTTGGATGGTGTTGCCCTTTTATGATGGTCTCTTCTGAGTCAGAGGCTGAGAGACAGGCCAGGCGGACTGTGAGCCTGAGGAGCTGGCAGGCACACAGACACCTGAGGCAGCTCAGGAAGCCATGAGGTGGGGGATGACTCAGAGGGGTCAGATTCTGGCAGGGTGCCTTACCCAGGAACCAACCAACCAGCCATGGAGGGCAGAGCAAAAGCAGTCAGCTTTTCTCCTTGAGAAGAAAATGCTCTGAGTGAAGCTTTGCCCATAACTGGGGCTACGCACAAGCAGCTTCTAGCCCCCTGCCCATCCATTCTAAGCAACTGAATAACACAATAAAAACAAAATAAAAGAGTTGGAAAGGACCTTGGAGGTCTTCTAGTCCAAACCCCTGCTCACACAGGAAATCCTATACCATTTCAGATAAATGGTTGTCCAATTTCTTCTTAAAAACCTCCAGTGTTGGAGCACCCACAACTATTGTGAAGTTTGCAGATGACACAACAGTAGTGGGCCTTATTCAGGATGACAAGGTGGAAGCTTACTGCAAGGAGGTCGAAGGGTTGGTAAATTGGTGTAAGGAAAACAGCCTAGTTTTAAATACCGGAAAAACCAAAGAGATCATTATTGATTTCAGAAAAGGCAGGCACAGCCACACTTCTCTGTGCATAAATGATTCACCTGTGGAGATGGTTACCAGCATCAAATTCCTGGGTGTGCAGCTAATGAGTAGGCTGACTTGGTCGCTCAACAGTGAGAAACTGGTAAAGCGGGCACAGCAGCGCCTGCATTTTCTGCGCTGCATGAGAAAAGCACATCTTCCTTCCCCTGTCCTGACCACTTTCTACAGGGGGACAATCAAGAGCATCCTGTCATACAGCATCACAGTCTAGTTTGGAGACATCAGTGCTTCAGACAGGAAGGCAGTGCAGAGAGTGGTGAGAATGGCCGAAAAGATCATTGGCAGTTCCCTCCCTCCCATCCAGGACATAGCACAGAAGTGCTGCTTGAGCAGGGTCCGTAAGATTATCTGGGACACTACACATTCTCTTCATGACCTGTTTTCCTTGTTACCTTCTGGGAGGAGGCTTCGTGGTATCCATAGCAGAACGTCGAGATTCAGTCATAGTTTCATTCCATACAGCATTAACCTTGCGAACTCTCAAGCTTCCTCCTTCCGTTATATATTCAAGATGGATAATATTTAATATTTATTTGCTACGTATATGTAGGGATGTGGGTCTATACATATGTTGTTCATAGTATGTTTAGGTGTGTGTCATGTATGTTTCACTTTGAGAACGGGCAACTAAATTTCATTTTTGATGTGTGCCATTGTGCCCACAGTATAAAAATGACAATAAAGGTTATCTTATCTTATCTTATCTTATCTTATCATCTTCTGGAGGTAAGTTGTTCTATTGATTAATTGTTCTGTCAGGAAATTTCTCCTTAGTTCTAGGTTGCTTCACTCCTTGATTAGTTTCTATCCATTGCTTCTTGTCCTACCTTTGGAGAATAGCTTGACTCCCTCTTCTTTGGGGCAACCCCTTAGATATTGGAAGACTGCTATCATGTCACCCCTAGTCCTTCTTTTCATTAAACTAGAGATACCCAATTCCTGCAACTGTTCTTTACATGTTTTAGCCTCCAGTCCTCTAAATAGCTTGCCATACTCTTTCTAGAGTCTCAACATCTTTTTTACATGGTGGCAACCAAAATTGGATGCAGTATTACAAATGTGGTCTTACAACATCTTCCTGCTTTGGACCCATGTTCTTGTGGCAGCCTGTTTCAAGTCCTCTTTGCTCCATTGTCCTGCTAGCTCAGACTTTCAGTCTGACTCTTAGGCCAGTTTGTAGAGCTGACTCATTCTAGATATTTGGACTGCTTTGAACTACTTTCATGTTTTTGCCTCTATATAGTTTCTGCTAGCAACTTGAGAACTACTCGTTAAGGGAGCTAAAAACTCTCTGCACTTCCCAGGCCTTAATGACTCTCTGTCTAAACACATGCCTTGTGAAAATGTTTACAATGGAGCAATAAAAGTTCCCAAACTTGTCATTATCTTGCTTTGCCTGTGCATCCACTTACATAGGACACGTTTAGGCTAGTCTAGAAATACATTAAAAGACATAATCTTCATTGACTTGATGTCAATTGCAGTGAGATCCATATGGAGGCAATAGGTTGGAAGCACTTGAAATAAAACAACTGTGTATTTTTAATAAGGTAACTTGACTGGCCTTGTTCATCTTATCTGAGATCAGGAATCTTTTCTTTTTTATTTTAGTATGTTGTTGGAGGTGGGAGGTAATTTTTCCATTTTACTATTAAGATAGGAATTAGAATAATTTTTACCAATTTGATACCATCCAAGTATTGGGCCACTTTCATTATTCCCAAACACATTTCAGATAGAGAGGATCATTGGTTTGAAAGAGGGTTAAAAAGAAGTCATTTATGTCAATATTGAGCAGCCCTCTCTCAACAGAGGGGTGTGGGATAAGACACCACCTATATCCAGTCTACAACACACATCTTGCAGCAGTTCAAGGAAGATTCCACAGCCATTTGCACTCTGATTCAGGTGACTCTGAGGGCAAGAGAGTGCTAACAGCCAGATGACTGCGAAGAAATGCAATCCTTCCATTTCCCCGCACCACCATCTGATCAGAATCTATCCTTCCATCCCCCCAACATCCGGTCTCCACTGTCAGTATCTATCCTTCCATTCTCTCCGCCCCCCCATAACAATTGATGAAGTTTCTTGGATGAGAAATGAAAAGAACAGTCCAGTTACTTTTTGAGAAAAAGCACCTTTGAGACATTCCCAAACATTGCACACTCAGACTGGATTCATCTCAACACAGACCCATCCTGGGGAAGGCTGCCTGTCTAGAAGCAGAACAGATTTGAATCCATTCCTCATACTGGTGACCAGGAATCCAGAAATACCACATTGGAGCATCCATATCCCTGCATAGTCATCACAAATAGGATAATTCCAATGAATTATCCTAAACTCAGAAGCACAGCAATTGTCTTTTGTTGTTAGTGTATTATATCCAAAACTTTTTGGGCAATTCCTTGAAATACTGTATAAGCCTGGGCTCTTTTTTGTGTTCTATTTTATTTTTATGTTTGTGTCTCAGAACAAATCTTTGCATATTTCCATACATATGGGATTCCTCCTCCAGGAATTACATATTTTGCTTTGATAGTTTTTGAAAATCTGTGGTATGTTCGCACCTCCTTAAACCTCCTACTGAAAAGATCTCTCAGTAGTTATTGCCACACAGCATCTTTGCAAAAGAAGCTTTGCAACTATGAAAACAGGAAGGTTAGAGACCACTTTGACTAATAAAGTTAGAATTTTATTTCCTTACATTTTTTGACATCACAAATTGTGGAAATTTATTACAGAGGAAAAAGCTCTTGAAACAAAAGATTCAATTTACATTGTAATGAAAAATAAGATTGGCATGAGAATGAATCCAAGACCTTTCATATTTACAGATGGGCGTGCACAAGCAATGCTGAGTTGTTTTTATAGAATTAATTTTCAAGTCATTGATCACTAGGAACTAGTAGTCTCTGGAGTCTTTTAATTATTTTTAGGACCCAATATTTGAGAATGGAACCAAGCCTGAAGGAAAAAGTTCTATTTGAATCTGTGTATTTTTCTTTGAACTGTCAATCACAAGTGGGCTTTACCAATATCCATGATGATTATGGTAGATTATGACATCCATTAATCTGTAGTTCTTGTTCATAATGATACTAAATTTATAGTGGGAGAAATTGTTACTTGGGTACAATTTTGATTTTGATCCCTAAATAATATGTCTTTAAGGGATCAGTGTTCCATTAAGTACCATAATCAAGAAGAAATGTACTTTAGGTGCCTTTTTACAGTCTATGATTTGCAAAAAATAAGTGGGTCAGAATTGCCCAAGGCAATCCATCTGACAGACTATCAATTTGATCTTGGGACAAAACAGTAAGAAAGTTGGATGTACAGTATAAGCTCAACTCTCAGAATACTACTTTAGGCCAAAATAAATCAATGGTAATACATAATGAAGTATAATTAAATAAATTATGCTTGTTTTGAATTTGCCCCAGCTACTGATGAGTAAGAATTATTCTCAACAGGTGATTGGGCAGATACCATGAGAAAGGGGACTTAATGAAGATGCTAAAACACAAATGGGGAAGATTGTAATTGAACACATTTTTGTCCAGGTTTTTTTTTTAACCTGGTTATTTCATTTTACTTCTTTGTGAAGAGTGCCTTATACTGAAGATAGCCACTCCTTTTAATGAATACTTCCCTCTATATCCACAGCAGTGATGACCCAATTGTACATCATTTAGCACCATCTCAACTTCTTGGGATCAGAAGAGAAGAAACAATGGAAAGTAAGAGGTTTAAGAGGATGGGGTTTTTTTTCATATAGCATCCCAGACATTTAGCAAGTATCTCAGTCTGCTACACCCATATGTCTCAAAGAGGCCATCATTCCCCCAGATCTGAAAGGCCTGTTATTCCTGGGTACCAAAACACAAATCTGTTGACAAGGGAGGAAATAAAGTCTACCGAAAAGTGCATTTCAAGTCAAAAATACACAACACTATAAATAGATATATTTGCTTTGGGGAGAGGGAAGAAAAGTTAATTTCGTACATACAACACAAAGATGCTTGTTTCAGTAGCCTCTGCATCCAATGTGCCGGCACAAGAGGAAATACAGATGAGATGGGCCCTGATTTATGGGGATAAACCCATACTGAAAAGTGGATTGTCCCATTTTTCATGATGAGGAGACCTCTGAACTTTGCCCATCAGCACATAGGAAGTGGAGAAGGTGCTCTTACAGTGTTCTATTGATGTCAAGAAACCTGGGGGAAGAAACCAAACAGAGGATGGATAGTTATATAATTGGGATTGAGGAAATGATACCCAAACTGATTTATCTTGAGAATGATTTCAAACCTGAAAATGTTTTCAGCACTTTAAGTTGAAAAAAAGATATCCTGATTTTGGTGGATATTTTCTGCTAAATAAGCACATCACACAAATGGTTTTGTAGACGATCAGTCTTTCAACCCAGAGCAGTATCCAACTTTAGCTCAAAGGTTTATTTGGTAGACCAAGGTTCTGTTATTCCAGGACCAGCAAGATATGCAGCAATGTATTGTACCAAAATGATATTGGCATTAAACGTGTTACAACAGAAATGTACTTCTGACTTCCTGTTGCTTTCCTTGCTGATTCTTACTCCTCTGGTTCCTTGCAAAGTCTAATAGGTTCCTCAGAAACATCAAAAATCTTTTGCTTATGAATCTCAGTAACACAGCATTACACTGAACCTAGGCAGATAAACGTTGCTTGATCCTACCCTACTTTTAAAAAATTATTGGATTTTTCTTCCTTGTCCAATTTCATCCATGGTCAAAGACTTATCTGATCCATCTTTATGTTTTATTGAATCTCAAACTTTCTTAAGGGAATTGTGAGGCTTCCTAACGTGAAAGTGAAAGACTAATAGGAAGATTTACAACAAGCAAAATCTCCTGTGCCAGTAAATCTCAAATGGGGTGAATGGAATGATATGAAGTTCTTTTTCACTGTATGATTACTTAGTGCATTTAAAATGCATTCTATGTGATAATAAACAGTGGAAAAAAAACAGGACATATTAGTTATATGTATATGGTCACTATTCCTATCATCTAGAGATGCTCTTATTCTGACCCTCTCTCTGTTAGAAATAACAATGAAAATAAGGTGTATTAATTTGAATATATAACTAAAAATTTCCTCACTTTCTAAGGGGGGAAAATTCATACCTGAGCGCTTGTCCTACATAACATCCATGTCTCTGATCTGACAGCTTAGGAAAGCTGTTTATATCAATGTTTCTTAACTTGACAACTCGAAGTCCAGACATTTTCAAATTGCCAAGTTTGAGAAACACCAATTTATACAATTCTGAAGCTGGACGCTTGGTGCATTAAGTTTCTTCTAGGTTTAATGTGCCTACTTTGCATTGAGCCCCCAGCTCCCCAAGGTCCCAATCACCCATTTCAGTGAGTCCAATGGAGCCTGGTTCTGCCCCTATCCACCTGGATGGGCAAAAGAAAAAAAAATGTTTAAGACTGACAATATAGGTTCTCCTTGGGAGGAAAAGGCATTAACTGGCCATGAGATACAGTATAGATGCACAAGAGAAGCGGCAATACCTTCCGGAACCATGTAATGTTTATAATTTATACAGGTACGGTGCCCCACAATAGATGGTGAAGCTTGGTAGCCACTCTGTCAACCCTACTTCAAAAATGGACAAAAGGAGAGGAATTCAGATTCCTATCCCCTAAATCTGAGAAAATTTTAGTTGTTTATGAAAGAATTGGAGTTTGCCCTTTACACTCAGAAAGAAATGGTGCAGAATGGGCATACATTTAGCCATCTTTATCTAATTAGCTTGCAGTTCTCTGCCTAAGGCTCTCCAACAGCTACTCCACAGTCAAGTGATGGCTTATACAAGTTTGAAATATAATCCTTTAAAATTTTTCTGTTTACATTCTCTTTGGGACCCGATAACATATGAGCTGGCAGCTCTACAATGCGAATGATAATAGTTCTATCCCTATAGCAGGTAGTTCTTAAAATAAATACAGGTGGTCCTTGACTTACAACAGTTCATTTAGTGACCATTCAAAGTTACTACAGCACTAAAAAAATGATTATAACTATTTTTCATACTTATGACCATTGCAGCAACCCCATGGTCATGTGATCAAAATGGAGACACTTGGCAACTGACTCATATTTATGATGGTTGCAATATCCTGTGGTCATGTGGTCCCCTTTCGCCACCCCTCTGTCAAGCAAAGTCAATGGAGAAGCCAGATTCATTTAACAACTTTGTTACTAACTTAACAACTGCAGTGATTTACTTAACAACTATGGCAAGAAAATGGGGCAAAACTCACTTAACAAATGAGCCACAGAAAGTTTGGGTTCAGTTGTAGTCATAAGTTGAGGAATACATGTATGAGGAAGGAAGGAAGGAAGGAAGGAAGGAAGGAAGGAAGGAAGGAAGGAAGGAAGGAAGGAAGGAAGGAAGGAAGGAAGGAAGGAAGGGAGGGAGGGAGGGAGGGATTCCCTCAGCCCAAATTTTGCAGAATACAACACAAAGCTGATTAATTCTCCTTTCCTGAAAAGTTCTGCAGCCTTTCAACAGTTCCATTTTGAAAACTTTTCAAATCCATTCCCTATTAAATATTCTGCTATACAAATTCAGTTAATAACAATGATGGAGTCCAAAGACTGCATGGTTACCGTGATACTGGGTGGGAGAGAAGAGATGTTAAGGAAAAATGCTGCCCCTGCCTCCCCTGATTGTACATAAATGATTCAGGAGCAAAACAACGTACAAACTCCACACTGTCAACTAGCTTGTATGAATATTTAATAATGCAAAATATAGCTGGGGTGATCAGGCAGATTTGCCAAATCTGTGATGGAGTTTGATAAATATGGATGAATCTTTCTTCTTTCCCATCAACCCATTCCCCACCCCCACCTCCAATGCCCAAAGTGGATTTATCTTCCAGAAACAGAAAATTGCATACAGAGAAGTCTCAGTGCATGGATGTGACAGTGGGGTTGGGGAGAAAGGCTTAGATTTGTTAGGCACTAGGGAACCTTGGAATAAGCTGAGCCAGCACAAATGGGACAAGTGCCACTTGAACTACAGTGAGACAAGAAAGTAGCAGAGTGGTTTTCAAACTGATTTTGGAGAGAAAGAGCAGAGGGCAAAACAGTATGACACAGTAAATCCATCATGTGCAGCTCCCCTTCCATTTGTTTATGTTAGTATGAAGTGTGTGTGTGTGGGGGGCTCAATTCTGTTTTAGACTTGCACAAATAGAAAGGCATTTCTGCTTTTCTATTTGACAGCTGCAAACCCTCTTATGGATGATTAAAATAAATATTACAAACCCAGCTTCAATTGATGCCAATAGAGAAAGAATGGTTTATTTTTTAAAACCAGCTCCAGGGAGGAACAACAAAGCAAATGGGTGGATGGACAGACTGCAGCTCCCACTCCATATGCTATTAGGACTGAGCCCCTAAATTCTTGCAGCATTATAAACAAGTAAACAGATGGGCAGCTACATGCTACATATTTGACTTATGTAAGAATTCAGCAGAACCTCATTTAAGGTGTGATTTTTCTGAAGACTAATACTGGGGATATTTCAAGCCTTGAATTGCAGACAAACAGAACTTGACAATGGGTATATGCAATGCAGACAGAATAAAATTTTAAAGGGACTAAAATTGTAGTGTAACATTGTTACAGAGCTCTAGATCTGGAAAATATATATTTTTATGAAGGATCTCTCCTGAGTTGAACTCAATTCTCAATGACATAATGGATACAACTGTACAATAATCTTGGCAATAATACTGCTTTCTTCCTGGATTTATTTATTGACTGACTTCCCAGTCAACCTCACGGTATTGTCATAATGACAAAACAACACATGCATAATACAGGTAGTCCTCAACTTACAACAGTTCTTTTAGTGACTGTGCAAAGTTACAACAGCATTGGAAAAAGTGACTAGTGACTGTTTTTCATACTTACGGCCTTTGTAGCATCCCCATGATCATGTGATCAACATTCAGATGTTTGGCAACTGGTTCATACTTATGACCGTTGCTGTGTCCCAGGGTCATGTGATAAGCTTTTGAAGCCTTTTGACAAGCAAAATCAATGGAGAAGCCAGTTGATAAGTTAGTAACCATGTTACTAACTTATCAACTGCAGTGATCCACTTAACATTCATTGCAAGAAAGTTTGTAAAACGGGGCAAAATTCACTTAACAAATGACTCACTTTGAGACTCAATTGTGGTCATAAGTCGAGCAGCCTTTCCTTATATGCTTTAGCCTCCAGTCCCCTAATCATCTTTGTTGCTCTTCTCTGTACTCTTTTTCTAGAGTCTCAACGTCTTTTTTACATCGTAATGACCAAAACTGGATGCAGTATTCCAAGTGTGGCCTTACCAAGGCATTGTAAAGTGGTATTAATACTTCACGTGATCTTGATTCTATCCCTCTGTTAATGCAGCCTAGCACTGTGTTGGCTTGTTTACAGCTGCAGCACACTGCTGGCTCATATTTAAATGATTGTCCACTAGGACTCCAAGATCCCTCTCACAGTTACTACTATTGAGCAAGGTACCCCCTATATTATACCTGTACATTTGGATTTTCTTGCCTAAATGTAGAACCTTGCTTTTTTCACCATTGAATTTCATTTTGTTAGATAGCGCCCAGTGTTCAAGTCTGTCCAGATCCTCCTGTATCCTAAGCCTATCTGTTTCATTACATCAGTACTAATAATGTTACCTAATTTGGGTAATGAAATAACTGCAAGAAAACAACCAAGCTCAGAAAGCAGCAAGGACCCTCAAGAGCCATGTGGCGCAGTGGTTAGAATGCAGTACTGCAGGCTAATTCTGCTGACTGCCGGTGCCAGCAGTTTGAATCTCATTGGCTCAAGGCTAACTCAGCCTTCCATTCTTCTGAGGTTGATAAAATGAGGACCCAGATTTTGGGGAGCAAAACATTGACTCTGTAAACAATTTAGAGAGGGCTGTAAAGCATTGTGAAGTGGTATATAAGTCTTAAGTGCTATTGCTATTTCAACCCTGAGCTACAAATATTCTCCTTTATTGGTACCACATATGGGCGTCAAAGGCTTCACAAGGTTTCCTAAGTGGTTCTATATAATCTTAAGTGATAGAAATGTTCAGCTTAAAAAGTATACTTGTATACTATTACTGTAATTTCCCTGATTAAAAATCAAAGGGGGCATGAA